AAACACAGTTTCGGAAGGATTTTGGCTATTTGGGTCTCTAGCAAGGCGATCATTATAATTGGTGTTTGCTTTGCTGGCTTAACCTCTCCTCTGAAATAATTTATATCATTAAGAAGAAACAAGGACGGCTGGGGAAATAGATTGGCAGTCTAAGCGCCTGCCTGGCAAGCACAAGGTCCTGGGTTCCATCCTTGGTATTGCATGCTATGCTGCCTAGAGCGCGCTGTGCCAGACCCAAACCCAGGTGTGGTGGTGCACGCCTGTAATCCCAGCGCTGAGGAGGCAGAGACAGGGGGATCACTACAACTCTGAACTGCATAGTGAGATGCTGTATCAAATACATTTTTACAAAAAGAAAAGAAGGAAGCAAGGTCTTCAACATTTTCTGGATGGATAAGCAAGGAAGAGGGCTTTAGTGGTGCCAATCAAAATTAGTTTTCTTAGTGGAAAAAGATACTCCCCAATGATAAGGCAAACATATTCTCTTCCTTTGTAAGAACAACAGAGAGGTAGTTAGTTACTATTTCAACATGGACTTGGATAAAAAGGCTTTTGTGCTTCCTACATTCCTCCCTCTGTTCTGGATTTAGATTTATTATGAAGATATCAAACTGAGAATAGTTTCTCTTCTACAGTGAGTGGTCAGACAAGAAGCCAGCCGAGGGCAGCTGTGATTATTAAAAGAATGTGACAGAGTTTGCAGTACTCAGCCTTCTGACATGTGTCCTTGTTCCAGCTTTGGAGACTTGTCCCCTTGTTCTACATTTTGGCTTAGGTACAGGGTTGTCAACACTTCAGGATCCACAACACCTGCAGACTGCCAACCCCACATAAATGCAGAATGTGGCCGTCCTGGCCTCTACATGAACGAGCCTCTATGCGCAGGGCCTGGAGTCACCGTATGACATTACAGCTCACCCAACACTCAGAAGGTATTTTTAGTTCTGAGGTTCCCATAAACGGGGTAAAGAAATAAGAGAAGTAAGCATTAAAAGGGAATAATGAATGAATAGAAAAAAAGAAGCTAAAATTTAAAACTGCCCTGGAAAGGCAGGAAGTACTTTAGTGCTTACTAGACACGTCATTGTGTTCTGTCTGTCCCATGAATACATAAAACCTCAGCGCTACTCTTCATTATCTGACACCCAGAGCCTTCAGCACTGCCTCCGTCCCTTCTTCACTCACGGCCTTTGCTCTAATGAGTCACCACACAGGGAAGCAGAGTCGGCTTGCTCATCAGCAGGACCGGATCCTCTCCAGTACAGAAATTCACTGCTCCCTTATGGCGTTCAGCCAAAAGGTGCTGTTGCCTTGGCTGCCAGCAACACCTTCCTCAACCAAGGACAGGAAGATAGTATGTCGCAAATAAAGTTCAAACGTATTTTATATTAAAAACATTTTCTTTACTTTAAAAATCAGAGAAAACAAAGTGTACACTTAATATTATTTCAGTGTCTGTAAGACGATATCGAGGGGAGCAATCTCTTGTTAGCTGATAGTAAAAAGAAGTATTTTGATGTGTAAATTTAAATACTGAAGTCTTTAAAAATTCTACATGAATAATGATATTGAGTTTACCAAATTTCATCCTTCACATATTACAGGCTTTTGACCTTGGCAGTCTTCACATCCTCGTCTACCATGAGAGAAGCTGGCTACGTAGAACTACAGTTCTAAAACACAGCTAGAGCAAAGAATTGTTAAGACTCTCAAATCACCAAGGAATCAAATTTCCCCCATTTTAGGATCTACTTTATTTTTCTTTATTCAGCTTGAGAATGCCCTTATTGAGAAAATTAAAATGTTTGTTTCAGAAACAGCATTAAACAAATGGTTATTAGCCATTGTGTAAAATATCTTTAGTGTCTCACGTGATACTTTATGGAAGCTCATGTCTCATAATTCCTAATGGTTTATACTTTCTATAGACATCTCAGTCAAAGTTTAGAATGTTACCAACACCACAGAAAATCTACATAGAATGAACTGTAGGTAATTTGCACAAACACACAAACTGAGTAAAAAAGACTATACCTCTGTTATCTTAGAGACTTTATAGTCCAAGTATCAGGGAATAAAGAAGAAAATATCAGCATAACTAATATACAGCTAACATGTTTAGCATGCTTGGTTATTCCAACTTAATATAATCTGACTCAACAACGTCGTACTATGGAAAGGATACTTTCTATGCCTCTTCCCAGCTAGTTCCTGCTCAACATGCTTGAATTAACCTGATCTACCAAAATGCTACCCAGATCACTGGTTTAGGCAATTTAGGGTTTCAATGAAATATGACCACTTGGGTCAGTGGAGAATGCAGAATTACGGAGCCTTCTCTCAGGGCATGTTCCGAAAAAGAACAAGCAGAATTCTGAGGAAAAAAAATCAGTTACATCTGGTTGATTGGGAGTCAAAGACAGAAAGAATAGGGTCATCGAAAGCATCATGGAAGAACTGACAGTGATGTTGCCAGATGGAAATCAGAGGGTAAGAAAGGTGGGGGAGAAAGGCACCTCAGGGAGAAGAAAGGGGGGCAGGCAGTCGAACGGCACAGAACACGGCCAATGACTATGTGGTGGAGGAAAGGCGGAAAACAGGAAAAAAAGGAAAGAGAAAATGTATAAGGTAGATATGGACCAGATTATAGAGGCATTTAAAATGAAGGCCTTCAGGGGAGACATCCTAGGAGGCTGATACAGGGAGTGTTAGTAGAAGGGATGTTATCAACAGCCTTAAGTGACAATGGCTATCAAGAAACTGATCCAAAAAGGCACAACTCAAAGGCAACTGCAGAGGGTTCTCAGCACTCATGTTGTGCACCATCCTGAAGGCTAGGGAGAAAAGAAAACTTGGTATTTTGCCAATCATGGATTTTTCTTGAACTATACTTGTTTTTTGTTTGTATTTTTAAAATAGTACATTAAATCATGTATGCCTACAGTTTTAGTTACTCAGAAGGTTAAGGATTACTTAAGCCCATCCCTGGGCAACAGAGAGACACTGTCTTAAAAAAAAAAAAAAAGCACTAAATTGATTATTGAATTCTTTGGCTCTAAAAGTGTGCACCTCAGGCAAGCACTTTATTTTTTCCTTAGGATTATTATTGTACAGAGGGTCCCCAACTTAGAATTTTTCAGCTGTATGAAAGCAATACACAATCAGTAGAAAGCACACTGTGAATCCGACGCTTCCCCAGGCTACTGAGATACAGGATGATGGATACGCTTTTGTGGTACTGGGCAGTCGCTGTGAACTGCAGCTCCCAGTTAGAAGCGGGACTGTGGGGATAAACCACCAATATCCTGCAGTGTGCCGTGGCATTGGCTTTCAGATACTGTCTTGGTGTTTTGCATCCCATCATGTCTAGCAAAGCCCATTTATGCACATCCATGAGATATTCAACAAAGTTTTACAAAATAGACTTTGCTCAAAGCTGCTGCATGTGTTCCAGGCATGATTAAGGTAGACTAAATGCATCTTCAATTTACACTATTTTCAATTTATGATGGGTTCATTAGCCACAATGTTAACCAAGGAGCATCTGTATAATACTGACCTTCAGATGCTGAACTTGGGCCATCAAAAAAAGCAAAACATAACCCTAAATTAAAACCTGTGACAATGTTTAAGAAAAGAGGGATGCTCAGTACTTATTTTTAAAAGACTTACCTCATATCACTGTTACTATTTTTTGTGGTGCTATGACTCAATCCCAGGGCCTTTCAAATACTAGGCAGTGTCCTGCCACTGAGCTACATACCATTCATCTTGCATTATTGTAATTATTATTTGTGGTGTTGGGATCAAGCCCAGGACCTTACACATGCTACCTTAGTGCTCTACCACTGACGTACATCCATAGATCTCTCTCTATCTCTATCTCTATCTCTATCTCTATCTCTATCTCTATCTCTATCTCTATCTATCTATCTATCTATCTATCTATCTATCTATCTATACATTGTATGTGTGTGTGTGTTGTGCTGTGTTGCTTTGTTTTGCAGTATCGGAGATTGAACTCAGGACCTTGCACTTGCCAGGCAGGTGCTTATGCTGCTGAGCTATCTCCCCAGCCCTATTAATATTTTTTTTTTAAACCAGCAAGACATGTTTATTCATTTAAAATTCTGTTAAATATTAAAGTTTTACAGTAACAAACTTATTTTTTTCCATTTTTTAAATTAGGACAGGTCTGCTTTGCATAGTGACTGCATTCTTTATGAAGTGCTGTCACATATCCATAGCATGCCTCGATTCTTTCTTCATTTCTTCCTCTCTCCTCCTGTCTACCTCCCTGAATGTCTTTTTTCCTTTTCCAATAGGCAAAATATTGACCTCATTATTTCCTATTATCTGTCTTTATATTGTGCCTTATCTATAATTTGGATTTCTCATGCAACAGTACGATTGTATGTTGTATTTCTCTAATTTAGCATTATGGTCTCAGGGTGACTTGGTCTACTGATAGCAACTCCCACTCTGCAGCAAGTCTGCTCAGATGTTTTCA